GCTAAAGCCTAATCTCCATTTCCTACTTCCAAGCAAAAGCTTCCCGATTTTCTTTCCCCTCCCCCCCCCCTTCAAGTTTAGAAAGCCCCCTCACACGAGCAAAAAATCTTTCATCCGGTCACTGATAATCAAGAACGGCTGGCTCACACAATCCCCCGCTCGCGAATGCACAAAGTCTCCTTAATTAGCCTTCTAAACAATTATTTTTCGTTACACAGAACGGAAGTTTCATCCCAAAGGGGGGAACCAAATTTACAAGAACTAACATGATTTGCCAACTCAGAACTCTGGGCCCTATTCTTTACACTCCTTTTATGTTCCGTAAGACGGTCATTCAAACAACGCCCTGTCTGACCAACATAACACAATCCGCAGTCAAAGGGGATCTTGTAGACCACCTCTGTGACACAGGAGACTGAGGGATCTCTGTGTTTTTTCCCGCAACATCCCACACGTCTGAAGGCAAATGGGGTGAGCTTGTCTAAACGAAAGTCCGTCTTAAAAATAACATTTACGTTAAAGTTTGCATTCAAAGCTTTTAGGCTATGAGAAGAACCATGAAAATAAGGAATCACAGCAAAGGTTCCACCTTGAACCCTCTTAGCGGTCACCGATGTGCGTACAAGTAGTCTACGTTGTGGTTCTCCTTAGGGCCACTGCCTTTGGGAGTACCACGTTCGCGGCGAGACGCTCTACCGCGAAGCGGGTTCGTACTCGCGTGGCATGCTGCTCGTTGAGTGCAAACAGACACCAGTCACGTTGGTAACGGGGATAAACTGTTTATTTACAATGAAACAAATAACAACAACACAGCGGCTATGAGCTGGTGAACGCCGTCGGTGTGGAGATCGCCCACGGCCGAACGGTCGTTCACAAAGGTACAAAGTACGGGGTAAACGCTCACCGGTGCGCCGGAAGGGTCCCCGTTGTCGCCGCCGCCGAATCCCAGGAAGAAGAGAGCGGAGAACTGTTGTCCGCTGGTTTTAAGATAACGGCGGGGGCGAAGTGGCCAATCAAGGAGCGACACGTCGATCTCCTTTGTGCGGGGGTTCGCTACGGAAATCGCCCCAAGGAGGGAGAGGAGGAAGCCACTCACAGTGCTAAGCAGCGCCACCTCTCGCTACGCCAGCGCGGCCGCCACGGCGCGCCAAAACGCTGACGCGACAGAATGTTGAGGGATCACAATCCCCACACTCTCCCCTCCTTAGCCAATAGTCACCCGCAAACGGGTGAACCAACACAAGCACACAACAAGACTAAAATAATAAAAAAAAAAAGAAAAAGGCGGCTGGAACTACACGGGAAACAACAGCCCGGCTCATAGGTCCATGCTCCAAAAGCTCGTCCAACGGTCCCTCACCAGCGGTACAGCTCCCAGCTGCAGTCGATCGGCTGCGTCAACACGTGACCGCCGCGCACGTGGCGGATCACCTTCTAAGCGCACAGGCCGGGGTAGGGCGTCGAGCCCAAGGTGACGAATGTCCCACAGCAGTATTCCGACAGCCCAGACGTTGGACTTGAAGGGCGCCCTTGGACTTTTGGCGGTAGACGTCCGCCTCGGGGTCCCAGTGCTCCTGGAGAGCTCGAAGTCGGCAACGCAGCAGCCGTGTCCGTCGACGAGCTCGTTCCGGGCGAGCAGGTCCCGGAGGATTATCCCTCGGCTGCCGAATCCCAGGAAGAAGAGAGTGGAGAACTGTTGTCCGCTGGTTTTAAGATAACGGCGGGGGCGAAGTGGCCAATCAAGGAGCGACACGTCGATCTCCTTTGTGCGGGGGTTCGATACGGAAATCGCCCCAAGGGGGGAGAGGAGGAAGCCACTCACAGTGGTAAGCAGCGCCACCCCTCGCTACGCCAGCGCGGCCGCCACGGCGCGCCAAAACGCTGACGCGACAGAATGTTGAGGGATCACGATCCCCACAACGTGCACTAGAAACAATAAAATCTAAACTATAATCCGCCGACAGTAGACATTCGATTTGAACGCCGAACGCGTTCGTAACACATGAAAACAAGATTTCTTCAGTGCACTGCCAATTAGTGATCTGCCCCCCCCCCCCCCCTCCCCCGTTTTAACATGTTTAGAATGAGCACTCCATCTAGAAAGAACCCTCTTCACGCTTTCCCTCCCATGAGACCAGCAAATCCCCTTTTTATTCAATAGTTGCAAGTCCAAAAACTGTAACTTTCTATCTTTCGCTGACTCAGAGGTGAATTTCAATTCCCGTGCAGCGGTAAAATAAGGTCATGGATCTCAGTAGCAGAAAGCTGATTCGGAGCACAAACCAAGATGTCATCAACAAACCTCCGAACCAAAACCCCTTCAACACCCAAAGAGCCAACAAAATCTGCTATTTTCTTGTCAAGAGTATTAAGATAAAACTCAGTCAACACTGTAGCCACCGCCGAACCAATGCACCCACCTTTCCGCTGTATATAACAGTCGCCATTAAAGTTAAGCACAGTTGCCGTCGATAGCACGTCAGAAGTTCCAGCACCGCATCTACCGAGATACTGTCTGGAGGTCACTCGTATATATGAGTGACCTCCAGATGGATGTGAGCTGCTTTGGGCTCTGCCTAAGGAAGAAGTTTGTGGATCCCAGCCTTTTCGGCTATCTGACTCAGCAGAATCTCCCTTGGCGGCACCAGAAGCGGATCATAAAGGCCTCTCGGAATGTGGCAGGTCAAAAACAAATGTGGCAAGCAGCAAAAAAAAAAAATAAAAAAAAGGCGATGTCGGGGTGCACGTTTTGAAGGGCTAACCACCATATATCTATTTCATATTTCCTTCACTATACAGTAAATCATTTTCATTATCACTGTAACAATAAGTTGGGGGACGCGTACCAAGTATAAGGTGCGCGTTCTTTCCAAATCCAGTTGCAAACGAAGTGACATTTTAATCCATTGAAATGATATTTCGAGCATCGTTTCATTTATGTCGGTTGAAATTCTTAATAATTATTCAGCATTGTTAAAACCTCACTTTTGCGCAACGCAAAAAAATTACACGAGTACAGTTAAGACTGCTTACGTGTGGGAAGGCGAATGTCACTCAAGGACGACGTCTAGGACAGGGTGTAAGATAGACAGGTGGGGAAACGGCCCATAGAAACCTACCGCAGCGCCTTGACCGGATTGTGTACTCTTCTGCTTGCGGGTACCCCCAACTTGCGACAGATGGCGCTGCGGCGAGAAGAAAAAAATTCGAATCAAGTTTGCATAGAACTTTATGGGAGAGTGCGCAAAATAAACCGAGAGCACGACAGTCCTCCAATGAAAATCCACGAGAAACCTTCTCCGTCAGTTTAGCCGGTCGCCACCGTTCGCCCTCCCGGACTGAGAGTTCGCGGTGCTCCACATAGATGGCGCCACAGAAAAAGAGAAAACCGAAAGGGACACAATCCGGTCGCTCATTTGGCTCTCGTTTCCCCACCTGTCTGTCTTACACCCTGGTCTAGGACGACCTCTACGACGACCTTGAGGACCACCTTAATGACGACGTCAAGGACGACATCTAGGACGACGTCGTGAACGATGCATAGAGGACGACGCCTAAGACAACCTTTAGGACGACGTGAAGAACGACGTCTCGGACGACTTATAGGACCACCTCTAGGACGACCTCTAGAAAGGCGTCAACCGTCAAGAAAGACGTCTATGACAATTTCTAGGACGACCTCTAGGACGACGTCGAGAACGATGCCTAGACGAGGATACTTAAGGAGGCTGTGGCGTATTTGCCGTAGATGTACACGCGGCCGCCTCACAGTCCATCGCACAAAGCACAGAATGAGCACAGATGAAGTCCTAAGCGCGCCTTTTGCAAACGGCGCTCCAGCGGTGACATCGCGCTGATGACGTGTGATCACGCTTGATGACATCACGCTTATGACGCGAGATGACATATTTTAGAGCGCAGCTCTTAGGCGCCCGTTTCCGGCTTGAGCGGCGTCGAGGTCGCCGTCGGCGTCGGCGTAACCAAGGTCACCCCAAGGTCAGCGATCCCCCAAGGTCACCCAAGGTCCCGTGACCCCCCAGGTCACGTGACCCCTCCCAAGGTCACCTCGAGGTCGCGTATCCCCCAAGGTGACACCCACGTGACCCCCCCCACGGTCACGTGATCCCCTCCCCCCGAAGTCACGTGACACCCCCCCGAGGTCATGTGACCCCCTCCCCCCGAGGTCAGGTGACCCCCCCGGAGCATATTAAAGAATGAGGGGAGGAGGAGGAGAACGAGGAGGAGGAGGGGTTTACGCTCCCCTCAGTACCTCTTCCTCCTCCTCCTCAAGAGCTGCGCTCCAATTCGGCGTTACAGGGAGTTGTAAACGGCTTTTTTTATTGCCATCTTTCGCGAAAGCCTACTATGCCTACAACCCTTGTTTTTCACGTATTGTGACAAGTGGGGTCGTCCTAGAGGTCTAGGACAGCTTCTACGACGACCGCAAGGACGACGCCAAGGACAGTGTCGTCCTTCAGCATAGGTTTGAGCGGCGCGTATCCGCGCAATCGCATTTTTGTGGCCATTTGCTCTGAATTCTCGCTCAATGGGGCAAGTAAGGGTTTCGCCTTAAAAGTAAAATTTCAGAGAGCTTGTAGATCAAAACAATAATAAAAGCCGAAGTTGCGTCAGCAGCTTGCTTACTATTTTTTCGCCTCTTGGCCGCAATCACAAACTGACAGAAGTAAAGAAGCTGCGACCTATTTACAACGTCTAACATATAAAACAGTAATTATCTGGCTTGATAGGATATCCAGAAAGGTAAATATTTGCCTAGATTTAGAAAAGTTTTGTAACGTAACTAAAACACGAATGCTGCAATTGTCAGGTCCAGTTTCAGTGTATTCATTTCTAAACGGCCTAATTCAATGTAACGCGAAAAAAAAAATCTCAAAAGCAGAAACGTGCATTAATTTTAATTCAAAATATGACATTTTTTGTAGATATAATACACCTGAAATTCAAGCACTACGAGAAAAGAGGGGGCTGACTGCTGAGTCATGAGGTCAAATATTTTGCTCTGTGTGATCTTCATCTATCAGCTTACCGGTACGTAGAGTTATACACAGTAACTAAATTATTTTGTGCTGGTCAGACAACAGTTTTTGTTACATACCAAAACTTAAATACTTGCCTGCAACAGGACTGCAGGGTAAAAAAATCAAGGTGTGACTTTCGAAGGGAAGTCACTTCAAAGTGACTTCGCTTCAGGAAGAATAACGATCTTCAAAATAACTTCCTTGATTGTGTGTGTGTGTGTGTGGGGGGGGGGGGGGGGGGGAGGGAGGAAGGGAAGGGGAGGGGGGGGGGGGGGGTGGCGAGCGAGATAAAGCACAATTTAACTTTCGAAAGTATTTTGCTGGCTAGTGCTTGGAAACCATGATTTGTTATGGTTTATATATATTTTTTAATATAATATTTATTAGGTCTCTAAAATACATCTAGCTAATCATACCGCACTGTTTTCAAATGAAAATGCATTCTAATTAATGTTGCATTGGCTTTATGTTGTGTTCGTAGCATTGCCCGAGGTAAAATGTTTTTCAATATTTAAACGCCAGTTCCTTGCAAGGTAGAGAGTAGAGTTATTTGTATAGCGGTGCTTTTTTCTACATCGAAATTTTTTTCCATCTGAGGCCTAACAAACTATTTAGAGCGGAGACTTCGGCCATACGGTAAAATGTTTAAGTTCGTGTAAGATATTTTTCATAAATCAAATTTAGTAGACGCGTTTGCTGTAAACAGTTTTTGTGAATCCGTAATCAAAAGTATCCCCATTGAATTAAAACGAAAGAAACACAAAAGAGGACGAAACAGACGACACAGCTTTCGACTTGCAACTGTTGCAAGTCGAAAGCTGTGTCGTCTGTTTCGTCCTCTTTTGTGTTTCTTTCGTTTTAATTCAATGTAGATTACCAACACGCTCAAGTCTATAAAAGTATCCCCCCCCCCAAAAAAAAAAAAAAAAAAAAAAAAATTATGCATTCGAAAAAACACAAACCCTGGAAACACGGAGCCCTTCTTATAAGATAAACTTGCTGTAGTCGGTGACAGATTAATAGTTCAGAAAAAACTCCTCCCCCACCACTTTCCACTGGAGCAAAAGGAACGCAGAAGAGGAGGCGACCTCCTCTCCAGCGTTTGCTCTGCCAAAGTGGAAAGAGGTAAGAGGAGCTTTCCCTGAACTCTTAATTTGTCAGAGAGTTAAGTAGATCTCCATAATGATACCCCCAGACTAGGAAAAAATTAGGAAAAATGGGCAACCACTCACAGCTCCAAAACACAGCTACTGCTTTTACTTCACGAAGTCACATTTACACAATCGAGGTTATGCTAACACTTCTTCACAATTAATATTTTTCCTCACTCCCCAGTTTATTATTATGGAGTTAAAAATATAAAATAGCGCAAAAAGACAGGGGCACGAATTAAACAGGACAAGCGCTATCTTGTTTACTTCGTGTCCCTGTCTTTTTTGCGCTACTTTCTATTTATATAACTCCATAATATTAAACTGGGGAGTGAGGAAAAAAATTAATTGCGAAGAGGTGTTGGTGTAACCTTCGGTGATTGTGGACGATTGTGTAAATGTGACTTTGTGAAGTAAAAGCAGTAGCTGTGTTTTTAAACTGTGAGTGGTTGCCAGTTTTTCTTAATTTTTTTCCGAGTCTGGGGGCATCATTATGGAGATGAACAAAATATCCCAGCAACGTACATTACTTGGTTATTGAGGTAGTTCACATCTGAGATTGCGTTTCTTTTTCTGATTTCGTCGTTTACTAAACATGCTTGGTATACCCTGAATTAACGTCGAGAGTTGGGCTAGATGGTATTCGTTGATCATAATGTAAAACATGCTTGGTATACCCTGTTGGTATTCGTTGATCATAATGTTTACTAAACATGCTTGGTATACCCTGTTGCAGGTCAGTAAAAATTGTTGTCGATTTGTTCATTCTACCAAGCGCGATGAAATGCGGTAGCTTTACGGGAACATCGTTTGTGAAAACCGTTAGGAAAGGAAATGGTACGGGGATGAACTGGTTCTAATAAAGCGTACACACATCTAGGACTACGTCAAGTACGGTGTCTAGGTCGACATCGAGGACGACGTCAAGAACAACGTCTAGGACGACCTCTAGAACGGCCTCAAGGACGGCGTCCAGGACGACCTCTAGGACGACCTTTAGAACGACCTCTAAAACGACCTTTACGACGACTTCTAAGACAACGTCAAGGGTGATGTCTTGGACACCGCCCTTGACGTTGTCTAGTCCTAGTACTGGTTGCCCCAACGTAAAAAAAAAACAGTATAACTTGTCACTAACTGGATTTTGGAACAGGATATCTAAATGAATGTCTTGCTGGAAACCTGAAATACAGTTATATTTCCTGTTTCATAATCCAGTTAGCGAAACGTTATACTGGTCTTTTCGGTATGGTGAAAAACGACATCTAGGACTACCTCAAGGACGACGTCTAGCAAAACGTCCGGGAGGACTGTGTCAAAAACGACATCTAGGACTACCGCGAGGACGACCTCTAGGACCTCTAGGACGACGTCGAGGACGTCAGGTCACGTCAGCCTCAGCTACCAGCGCTTACGAGCTTACGCGACCGACGCTTAGCAGCTCACGCGACCGGCGCTTCAGCGAAGGGCGCTAGAGCCAACGGGCACTTCGGCCGCCGGCACTTCAGCTACATGCGCCTCAGCCATCATTGCTTCAGTCACGAGCGCCTCAGCCACCATCGCTTCAGCAACGGGCGTTTGGTGGCCTTGGTTAAGAAACCTTGCGCCTGGTTGGGTCTTTAAAGCTACCGTTTTGAAAGCAAAACAGGCTCCTATCACAAAGCCCTCCACTCTCTCCCCTTTAAAAGTGCGAAGGCTAGAGAGGCGAGGAGGGGCTCGCCTGTTCGTTGTTGCAAAGTGAAAAGAAAAGATGGCTTTGTAAGAGGAGCCTGTCCTGTTTTTCTTGACCTGCAACACGGTATACACCAACTCAACCCTCTTACGTTAGGCCGCTGCGGTGTCGGTGATGTCGGTACTGGGCATTCACAGACGCTTCCTCTCACGCGAATCTTGTTTCTGCGCACACAACTGCATTGAGGTTGTGTGGGCGAACGCGGGCTTGTTCGTATGGTGCCTGGAACGCGTCTCCGACTGGTGTGTTTTCCGCGTCCAAAAATATTGTCCTCGATTTCCGCCTGGTGACGTCATACAAGGGTGTCGCCGGTCGCGATCCCGGCGGTGTGCCAGTAGCGGTTGTGGCTGACGCCTGTTATGCTGTAGGTCCCTGTACAGTGAGTCCGCGAAAGATTCGGCAGCCAGAAGTTGGGACGCCGCGACGACAACGGCACTTGCGTACAAGTGTGCTTTTCGCCAGGGTTTCTACGACCAACCGCTTTGGGACCACTTTGGGACCACGTTTGATGTATGGGCGGAGTAGGACGCTACACTCACCAGTCGGAGAGGCGCTGCAGGCACCATGTTTTTAGTAAGCACCATGTTGTTGTATAGTCATAAGTTACTAGAAGCATTGTCAACCGCCTTGTAAAGCAGTCCCGATATTATCTCTAGGTGTATCTTCTCTTCAAAAACTCAGCTTCGAAGATTTCATCGACGAGGTTCTCTTCCGGACTCAGCAGAACCTATACAGTCGCCTCGGGGAAGGCTGGAATATATTTCTAGGCACAAGCCTACAGGATGAAAATGGCACATTCATTTTTCTCAATGGCTACGCCTACGCTTACGCTGTTGGATGGCACTATAAGCTTAAAAGAGATGGAGTGTGCGGCACAATATATGGCGGCATGGATAACAGGCTTTGGTGTCCCGTCAGATTTGACAAGCTTAGGGTAGCACTTCCTCGGTTCCCAGGGGACGGTGGCGAACACTACATACTCCGTGTGGATATGACAGCGAGACTTGGTTTTTGGCAGCCAAGAGGTTTGTATTTCTCATGCTAATATTTTATTTTTATTTTCTGAAGTGTATACACTATCTCCGAGGTGTCAGATACATTAGGGAGTTTTCGTAGATCGTTTTCGCCGTCCCGCAACGCCCTCCACTACGATACCCGGAACTCTACAGCCAAGGCCTTCGGAGCGCAGGCGCAGTAGCTGCTTCTTCGTTGCGGAGGGCTTATCGGAGGGGGAAACGCGGTCTACGAAAACTTCCTATTGATACGTCTAACACGTTATCTATATTGCGGCAGGTAGAAACGGTTTTGTACATTGTGATTATGGCTACCATCACGCAGAGCAGTAAATACGGTTATACGGGCTTCCCATGTCGGCACTTAATTTCACTCCATTTTTTTTTTTGCTATTGCGCGCATCTTATAAATTTAAGTATGTCACTACGAGTTAAGTTGTTGGTCTTCCCGGTGGTGTGGGAGGCACGTTCCGCCCCGATGGTCTGGAGCGTGGTGGCGCGAACGTCGCTGAGTGACGGGGGGTCGACTGACTGCTTGTAGAGAACTATGTGCATTTATTTACACTAGTTACAAGTCCCAGCTTGGGAGACCATCCTGCCTCGTCTAGATGCTCGGCCCCAATCCCCAGTCTCCCTAAATCGAATGCAAAATTCAAATCTCCATCCGTGAGAATCTTCTTGGCACTTTTTTTGTGGGCTCGTAGCGGCCTGCTTTCCCCTCAAGAACCGACTAATCCCTTCAAATTTCGCCATTCCCAGGTGGTGCACTGTTCTCCAGTGGTCGGTGAGCTGTCAGTCTGGCGCTCCAACAGTTAAGACCAAATTCCGTCTAGAGTTGTTCCCTGCGTTTTTCCCGGTCTGGCTGGCGCCAACAGCTGAAATATTACGCCGGGAAAAAAGCGCCAATTTGACACTCAGCGGCAAAACTATCTATAACCAGGCACACTCGGTTAACAGCAAGAAGCAGCTCCAAGAATGGGCTGTCCCAGGGATCTGTCGAACAGACTCCCGAAACCCGAGACGTTTCTTAACGATCGCGGGGGAACCGCTCCACCTCTCGGCCGCTCTGCCCACGCAAATGCTCCCTCCAAAACGCCAACACCAACATACAAAGCTAAAAAAAATCAATGTCGACACAACTCTGGAAAGATAAACTTTTCTAACAAGAGAAAACACCTTAATTAATAAACAGGATTGCTACATACTTAACTTTTCGTTTGCATTTTTTTAGCAGAATGTGCTTGTACCAGCCTCGTCCGATTTACCCACCCTTCCTGCACCGGTCTGGGAAAATGTAGGGCAATGTACTTCACGTCTTATCTCAATACACATACCGGAAGTAGACTTCCCTAGACTTCTCTGCACCGGTGCTGGAAGTTTAAGTAAATCGAACGCAGCTAACGCTAATTTATAATCCCCCCAAAAAAGGTGATGGAACGCCGCGGAAACCACTATGAAATGTGTGAGACGTACTTCGGACGTCAATCTGTACAAAAAGACGTAGTTGAAAAGAAATAGTAATTAACTGAGAAGGGATAACTAAATTTTGAACACGCCCCGACGCAAATGGAAATAAATTAAAAGTGCTAGTTGGACTAGCCGGTTTTGATGCCCACGACTCCATGATTATGAGTCCCACACTATACCACTGTGCCAAAGGGGCGGTGGTAGTGTTTCGGCGCCAGTGGTGAACGCGAACGCTGGACGCAGGCGTTGGACTTTGCGTCTATGCACCAATCATTCTAATCAGAGTTCAGTGATCTCACGTCCCCGTACGCTTTCATTTATCCGTGAGGAGCAGCTTATAATCTGCGACCGACATGGAGAACATCTGTTCTCCCGTCGGAGCGACCGCTCCACTCCTATTTGGGGAAGGATTACGGCCAGTAACATTGACCTGCGGTGTGCGTTCTTTTTTATGTAATTTTTTTTATGTGCCCCCGAGGTTGCAAACACGTTCCCGAAAAGACTCCGCCGACTTAAATATACAGAACGAGGCCGTAAGGATTATCACTATTTGCACGCCTTGCAAAATTCGAATTCCAGACGTACAAAGCGCGACGCCGTTGGCGCGAACAAACGATCGCCGGTTTTTCCACTTTTTCTCTTTGAGACAAAGGTATGTCATCCACATTATTATTGCTACGGAAAGAGCTCATTTTGTTCTATAATGTAAGCGATAAAATTTCGTCACGCTAATATTCTTTAAAAGTAAAATCCGAAAATGCGCCGATGTCGTGTTCGCGCTAACAGTGTCGCGATGTATACATACATGAAACTGGGCACGCTTACGTCGTTTCGCGAGAAGTTTTGTCGATTTTGTTAGAGCTCAACTCAGCAAAGGTAACTATTAAAAAAAAACAAAAAAAAAACGTCAAGAACGGCGGCCCTGCATCTTCTATGCCCTATACTAGCCTGTTTGTCACAAGGTTCATTAGTTGGAGTTAAATTAGGATGGTAAAATAAGCTAAGGCGAGACCAAAGTCGAATTTCAGCAATTTGTAGTTATAAATAAAAAGCTACTCGTGGAAAATAAAATAAATAAAACAGAAATATTTACAGCAGAAGCGGAAGTGTTCAGTTCGGTTTCTTCAGGTGAAGGCACTGCTGTGTGCAAATCAGTCTTCGGGTTTCTGTGTGCCGGAGAGAGAATGGACGTTGTAGGCTCACGGCGCAGCGTCGGGTGTTAGGTTTCTCGAACGACTTCAGTTTTAACGGAGCTCGACTTGATTGGAGGCTGTGTCGGCAACTCTCGAACTTTAGCCGAACATAGGTTTCTCTGGTCTGTTGCCTTGGAGACTTGGTCCGGCGGGTTCCAGGTTGCCGGTGATGCAACCCAGTCCTGGTTTGGGCCGTTTGCCCGAGCGCCCTGGCACGCCAGAAATGAAAGTTACTGCGCAGGCGAGCTGGTGAACCATCATAGTGAAAGAAAACCTCGAGATAAGGAACAAAAAAAAAAGGGGGACAAACACAACACTGTTTCTAAACACAGCTGCAAAATGTATTTCCGCACAATCCTTTTTATAAAGGTCAACCGCAACCACACCGCTGTAATCAACAACTCTCAACCCCACAGTCAAGTCAAGTGGACAAGCCCAAGCTCCGATACAGCCTAACAATACATCGGCGAACACAGTGACCTTGAAAGCTAGATAATAATAATCAATCAATCAATCAATCAATGTTTTTATTCGTGCCCAGGAACAACCTTGCGGTCTTGGTACAGGTGCACTGTGTTAACATGTAAGGCAGAACAGGGCATAAAGCAAATAATACCTTATTAGCAAATATTTGACGAGATCCAGGCTTGCAAGGGCCGCAGAAGGCAGTGTGCCCACCCCAAAAGGCCTGCGGGCCCAGCCTGGGTTCTAATGTTCATAGTTCTTGGAACTGGAAGCGGCAACACTGGGCAGGGCCGGCAACAACAGTTGCTGACACGTTAGTTCGTGTGACAACACTGGCGTTGCACTACGTAGTCCGTTGGGCAGCCCTCATTACAGTCCTGAAGTCGTCGGCGTCGGTTGGGAAAGTTCTGGTGTGGTCAGATGGGAGCCGGTGCCATAGCGCTGCTGCACGGGGCAGCCAAGATGAGCCGTGGCGTTGTGTGCGAGTAAGTGACGGCTGAAGACGGCCTGTTCATTTGTTCAAGCGCGGACTTTAGGACAATTCCTGGTGACCAGGGGACATGATGCGCCACAGTAGTCGCAATGTTGAGGCCCGTACTCTTGAGTCCAGGGGTTGCCAGGAGGCATGGCGGAGCAGGTTGGTGGAGGTAATTCCACCATGGGGGAGTTGCTCTTTCTTAAGCGTTGTGCGGCGGTAAAAGGTGTACGCTGCACGGCGTTGAACGCTGGAGAGACTTGTTTGAAGTGCCTGTGACAGGAGCAACCACACAGCAGTAACGATTTAAGCGCAGAAAGAACGAGCGCTGTGTACAAACTTCGAATGAACTCGCCGGCATTCCAGTGCATGGTCACACGTGTCACTAACCCTAGCAGACGGCGAAACCTCGATACAGAACGATTCGTGTGCACGGAAAAGTTCAGCCGAGAGTCAACCTCGACTCCAAGCACCTCAGCCGTACCGGCTCGGCTTATCACGTGATGGCCAAATTTTAGAGGAGGTGGTTGGAGAGAGAATGGTGGGTGGCTTGAATTAGCAAATGAAACTGTCGAGCACTTATTTCCATTCATGGGGAGATGGTCCAGCTGCGTCCAGTACAGACAACGGTCTAGGCCAGAGTGATGACTGACGTAATTGGCCGGAGAGCAGATGGGTTGGAGCAGAGAGATGTCGTCGGCATATAGGATAGGAGTTGAGGCCAAGTTATCTGTAATGCTGTTGATGAAAATGGTGAATAGGGTAGGGTTAAGGACGCTTCTCTGTGGGACGCCAGAAAGGACGGGAATAGCCGTTGAGGAAGCACCTCGGTAGATAACTCGCTGGGTACGGCGAGTGAGAAACTAACCGAGCCAGCGAAGCAGAGGCCCACGCAGCCTTTTGAGCTCAGAACTCGCCAACAACCAGCATGGGAAAGCCGGTCAAAGGCTCGAGAGAGAGAGAGAGATCTAGCTGGACCAACTCGACGGGTGTGTGGTCATCAAGGTGTGCACTGACGACGTGGACCAGAGCGAGAAGGGCGGTTGCACAGCTGCGGCCGCGGCGGAACCCATGCTGTGAGAGTGACAGAAGGCTATTGCTGTCACGGTGCAGGTGAATTTTAGAATTGAAAATTCGCTCAAACGTGTGACACAAGACTGAAGTGGATGCAGTGGGGCGGTATGAAGATAAATTATCAGCACGAGCGCCATGTCCTTTGTGTACTGGCGTGACAATGGCTATCTTTCACAGACGAGGAGTAACACCAGAGTTCAGTATTCGCTGGAACATCCGGGAAAGGGCCGGGGCCATAGAGGGAGCTGTGGTCATAAGTACAAGAGGGTGGATAAAATCGGGGCCCGGATTCTGGAAAGGGTGAAGCTGGGACACCGCCTCAAGGACGTCGTCAGTAGTTATCGTGATGGATGATAAAATGGATGTAGGCTGACCAGTTGTGGTTGCACGAGGGATATCGGTAGTTCAACTAGAGGGGGCCAGGGAGTTAGCAGAACAAGAATCGGTCCGGACTGCAGCGAACTGTTTATTAAATGCTTCAGCTGTGTCAATGAGCACGAGAGCAAGTCGTTCGCGACAAAGAAGGAGGGGTGCAGCGCCTGCTTCCGCTGTGGGTTAACAAATGCTCAAAATAATTTAGGCTATTTGACCGCACGAGCGGCGATGTCCTCAGTGTAAGCGCGGTGAGCCACATGTATGCGTTTCTTCACGTCACGATGGATCTCCTTGGCAGCGGCGAGACATTCTGGGCAGCGGCTTCGTCGCGCCCTCCGGAACACTCTATCTTTCTGATTGCAGAGGGCAATGACGTCTGATGTAAGGCAGGGCGCGCTGCGTGGGCGATGGGCGCGCCTGAGTGGCACAGTGGCGCTTCAGAGGGCGGTCATCAGAGACGTGCAGGTCTCGCACATGTCGTCAATGTCGTGTTCTGAAAGCAGGGCGTCCCATGGGACAACGCGTACAAGCCGATGGAGGTGCCCAAAGTCGAGTTTACTGTAGGCACGGAGAAGCCGAATGTGCTTCCCTCGGGTAGGAAGGGACGGAAATGTCGATAGCTGAATGACGTTGTGGTCAGAGTTGCTCAGGCCAGCAGTGGCAGCACAGCCGCGGACAAGAGTTGGATTGAGAGTAAAGTAGAGGTTAAGGCACGACGATTTTTTTTGTATTAGTTGTGTATGTAGCCTCCGTGCACAGCTGTGTGAAGCCATTTGTTTTAAACAGGTCCAGGAGCATGTCAGATGCGGGGTCTTGCGGCAGTGGAAACAGAGGATCGGCCCAGTCGATGTGGGCGTTGAGGTCGCCGAGGATGTCGACGTTGTGATATGGGCTGCGAAGCGCTATAATGTGTTCCATCGAACAACGGAGCAGACTGTATGACTCGGCGCGGAGAGCTGAGGGGCAGTAAATGGAGGCCACGAGGTACCTCTGTTGTTTGACAGTGATTTCAATGAACAGCGCTTCTAAGTCTTCCCTCTCGACCATGACGCCGACACCCCACGAGAAGTCGTTCGGTTCTTTCGAAAAACAACGTACTCGGGGAAAACGAGCTGGCTGTCGTGGATGGATGGGTCCAGCCATGTTTCGCAGAGATTGAAGATTGTGCGTGGCATCGAGGGTATAGTTGCTTGGTGCTCGGGTAATTTGTTCTGTACTGACCTGGCGTTGCAAAACCGGATAGTCGGCTGCTGCGACTAGACGTGCCAAACCTGTGTCGCAGTGGGTGCTTGGGTTCGGTTTTCGGCATCGACCCGACGGCCATCCGCAATGTCGGGGGGTGGCGACGGCGAAAGGGAGCATGGAGCTTGGCTAGGGACGTCCAAGTAATCATCCGTAAAGTCAAAGGTGCAGCCCAGGCAGTTCCAAGTGTCAGTACTGCTCCCGAGTCTCCGGTATTCCCTGAGTGACACACAAGCACAGGTCTGATGGAGCCACATTTCGCATGTGTCACAGCAGAGGGGGGCCTTAGTCTCACGCACTTTTCTGTCGCAACACGGGCAGAGAACTTCCGGGGGTCCTGGATAAGGATCCACATCATCGCTGGCGAGAAGAGACGCACCGCGGAGGTGGACGGAGCATACCAGCAACCGCGTGAGCCCGGGAGGCCGACGCGATCCAGTGGACGGAGAAGGCGTAACGACCGGCCGGTTCGACGGATAATCGGCCGAGACCCACATGCATGGGAGCGCAGGCCAGCAAGCGAAGGTGTGCAGGAAGATCGTCCGGTGTCGCAGGGCGAAAGCACAGTAGATCACCAGTGCGAACTGAAAAAGGCGAAACAGGAGAGTGAAGCGACACGGTCTCCACGGTGCCGCCATGTTGTCCGTGATAGACCGTATCTCCAGGTCCATGACAAGCGAAGATATACAATTGCCAGCGCTAGTTATGCTAATCGTCTCTTTTAACACTCTTTTGGAAGGGTCTCTTTATTTACGAAGGACTTCGGTCTTCGTCAAGCCCGGAAAACAATTCGTCAAGCCCGGGAAGCTTCATCTTCGTCTGGGAAACTTCATCTTCGTCAAGGCCGGGAACTCATGAAGGTGTTTGACGATTTCCAAATTCGCCGATTTTGACGCTACCGCCTTTTTGTGTTCTAGAATACGGTCATTTGGACAACGGTTAGTCTGACCAACGTACGTGAAACCACGCGTCATAGGAATATCATAAACCAATGCTTCTTCACACTCAGTTGCCGCCTCCCTATATTTTTTCTGACACTCTTTGACACACTGATATGCGATGTGTATGGTTAGGCTGTATCGGAGCTTGGGCCTGGTCTACTTGAGTTGACTGTCGGGTTGACGATTGTTGGTGTGAGAAGTGTGGGTGGGGTTGCCCTCTATAAAAAGGATTGTGTGGAAATAAATTTTGCACCCCTGTTTAAAGACGGTGTTTGCACCCCTTTTTTCGCTCCTGTCTCGAGTTTTCTTTTTTTACTATAGCCTGTTTGCCTGTCGTTGTCTGTCCCTCCCCAAATCTCTCTCACCGTACTCTCCGTGCTTCTCGTGCCATCTTCTTTTTTTTTTTTTTTTTTTGTCTATTCAGCATGGACATTATCACACTGTAGGTCGTCTGCACAATGGTCTGCGAGCTCGCTCCCGTGGAAGATAATCGCGATAAGTAAACTTTTAAACGAAATATATGAACGATGACCACCTGGGAGCAAGCTCGCAAAGCAATGTGCAGGTGACGAACATTGAGATATAAACTGCACGGCCACAGTTTTACTTTGGCACCCGTTTTAATAGTTCACTACACCTGATGTGAGCCCTCAAAAGATAAACGTAAAACTTTTCTCGTAACGGCGTTTTCGTGCCCACCTTCACGAATCTACGATAAGAATTCGTATTTGGCAAGGCGTATTAAATATGTTGGTCATTTCGGCCTTCCCTTCCCCTGTACATAGAGCTTCGCAGTGCGAATGATCACTCGGATTTCCTAAGCCGCATCTTTCCCCTCACGGTCCTTTTTTCTCGCAGCACTCTGGCGTACTCGCTTATCTCTGGAGATAAACTTCTGTGCGAATGCAACATAAGATAGTGGGAAGAATTCGAAAGGAAATTTCTTGGTAGCCTTGGTGTGGCTGCCAAACATTTATAATGAAACCTAAATATTTCATTGTACCTGATCACCATTGAGAATATGGCACCCTGAAGAAGTCTAATAGCGGCAGCCTACGTGTCCCCAAGAGAGCTGCTGCGGTGCGCCGGTCGTCATTTACATGTTGACAAAAACAGCTTCAGTTCGTTGTGGCTCCATATCAGCAGTCATGATGCGATGCGCTGGAGAAACGAAGGCCAGTGGCATTGAAACGGAAAAAAAGGGGGGGGGGGGACGGGGTAAATGCTTCCCACCCCCCCCCCCCCTCCCCTTGCATGTAAACAATACGAGGGATGGGGAGAAAAATCTCGTATCCCCCCCGACCGCCATCGTCTCCCATCATCCACCGCCCTTCCATCTCTCGAATAGTTCCGACGCCTCTCATTAAACGGATACTGAAGCGAAATTTAGAGCTCACAAAACAAGTCTCGAGGGATAGGCGGGATGCTGCAAAACCCCAAAACATTACTCATAGAGCGATATCTCTAACGGATCGTCGCAGTTCCGGAAAAGAAGTGCGCGATCGAACACGGCCGGTGAGATAAGTCACGTCACGATTCTCATTCCCTCCCCTCCTCGCTACGTCCCGTCGAGCTGGTCAACCGAATTGCGAGGAGGACAAAAACCAGGCCGCTTGCGCTAATTCTCAAATGTTGCAGGAGAGCAATGATGTCACCGCGCTCGCTTGATCGAGCCCTTCTTTTCCAAAGAATACGGCCATCCGTTTGAAATATCGATGGATGAGTGACATTTTGGTGTTCGTAGCGTTTCGTGCAACGCTTCTGCGGCCTTACTTTGCGAAATCAAAATTTCAGTTCAGTATCTTTTTAAGTCTCTGTGAAAAATGTTGGCTGCACTATGGAGTTTCCGCGAGATTAATTTCGAGTTATGCGTATGTTATCTATTAAAGTCATGCTTTGTTTCAGGTGGTGATTTGATGAATTATATCAGATATGTGTCGATGCGGACAAATTACACGATGACAAATAGGAAGTACGCTATTGTGACTGATACTCCGGCCCGATACCATCTTTCAAAAAAATGGGCCCAAAATCTTCAAGGAGTCATGCAGACGACATTAAAAGCTTTCCTCACCAATGGTGATTTCTATCATTCTATCACTAAAGCTGTGGAGGGAATGAAGAAGCCCTATGAATTGCATCCTTGATATGCGTTGATTGGCCATTAAAATAAAATATAATTGCAATGTTTGTTTATAATCGCGAACTTTTGCAAACTGAAAATAAACACAAGCTTCTTCATTATGGGGGTTCAAGAACTTATTCATTTTTGTTGTTTTGAATTCGTGCATGGCATATAACAGTGCCACAGAGTTAAAGCTATAGACGCTTTGTACACACGTGGGATTACATCCGCCATTGCTGACCTTCTCTTGTAGTACTAAGATACTGAGTCACTGAAACGGGCGCTGACGTGCTTCCATAAAGGCCAATGCTGGAGAGAAGAACACAGTAGAATCAGAAATGGCAATAACCTGGCCCTCTATGATAATAATGAAGTGAAGTAAACGGAATAGTAGGACACAAAACCTGAAGGTCAGTTATGGCGGCGCCAGTGCACAACTGCTGCAAAGCGTCTGTAAGGTTCTGTGATTTCGGAAGGGCTTTTTTTTAACTCTGGGGTGTTTTTGGACGATTATTTTATCCCCATTTTTTGTTTGTGTTTTTAGGTTCCGATTTTCGATGACGGAGGGTGAAAAATCGGGGCTTAGCTTCAACGCGAAGGTCAGCGCTCTAGGCATCGCTTAGTGTTGGAATTGTTGGAAGTAACGCGTTACAAGTGACGACGTTAGTGGTATGTTGTTACGCGTTAGTAATTTCAGTAATGCAATTAATAAATTTCTAAATGACTAACAGGTCAATTATTTTGTTACTAGTTTTACGACATATTATCTATTAATGTATGCATGGTGGTAAATATGCCTACAAACACGGACGAAAAAAGAAGCACACAGGACGAGGCGTAACTTGCAACTGAACTTTACTGAAGGGAACACATAAAAAGAAGAATGAAACGGCACATGCGCAAAGATGCTGGACCTTCATTAATCACGTGAAAAGCCTGTCGTCACTGTTGAGTGGCCGAGAAAAAGCCCGCTCCTTTTCGGATAATGCAACACAAGGAGCACTGATACACACATTCGTGCCACGGGCCCTTCTCATGAATGCCTCATGTATCTCGTGTTCCAATTTTGTTTTGAATTTTCCCATAATCTTGGTACTAATGAACTCGGCCTGGCACGCACACCTGTTACAATGTACAGCCAAGTGACCAGACGGGGATAGCCTGGTGGTGGCGGAGTGTTCTCTGGTTCTACCAATAATGCACCTCTCTGTCTGGCCAACATAAACCCTACCGCAAGGTAGGGGGACCTCGTGCGTGAACCTTAAGTCACATTGCCGATACTTGGTGGCATAACGCTTGCCGGACACCCCCTCCGCATTACCCGGCATACCTGTATTATTTATTCTTCGGCAAAGCTTAGAAAGCTTGTTTGGGGCAGAAAAACTACAGAAATGCGAAACTTATTCGCCACCTTTTTGAGGCTGTGAGAAACCGTATGTACATAAGGCAGGACAACAGGTCTATCTTCAGGCCTTGCCCTCTCAGCATCCCCTCTTCCAACAAGCCTCTTCAGCTTCTTTGCCAACCCTTCAGCAACATCACATAAGACCCGGGAACCCCACATCCTGCATTCTGTCTAGCTGCAACTGAAAACTAAAGCTCATGTTGTGAGGGAAAGATTTTTTCAAGGAGGCATGCAGATAACTAGAGGCGATTCCCCTCTTTACGAGCTTCGAATAGGCCCAGTCCTATGGCAGCAGCTTTTTCTTTGATCGGGGGTCATACGTCCAACACACATGGTCGCCCTCAATGAAAAGACCCAAGGCCAAAAATTGAAGGCGCTCGGCACTCGCTGTTTCATGCACAAAACTTAGGCTTTTCGCAAAACTCTTAAAAACCTCAAACACTGCAGAGACCATATTATCTTCGTTAGCCTCTACAGGATCTCTGTTAAAAACTAAAAAGCTGTCAACGTATTTAAAATCTTGAGCCTGTAGTTCTTTACCACCAACTGTTCTATTGCCCTATCACACGAAGTAAGAAAAATATCACTCCCCTTTTGCCACTTGGCTGTTCATTGTGATAGGTGTAAGTGCCTGGCCGAGTTTAATAGTACCAAGATTATGGGAAAATTTAAAACAAAATTGGAAAGCAAGATACATGAGGCATTCGTGATAAGGGCCCTTGGCACGAATGCGTGTATCAGTGTTCCTTCTGTTGTCTTATCCGATAAGGATCAGGCTTTTATCGGTCACTCAGCAGTCACGGCAGGCTTTCCAGGTGGTTAATGAAAGTCCAGCATCTTTTCGTATGTGCGGTTTTATTCTACTTTTTATGCTTCCTTCAGTAAAGTTCAGTTGCGAGTTAAACCTCGTCCTGCGTACTTCTTTCTTTGTCCGTGTTTTTGGCGTATTTACCACCATGCATAAAACCAACTAGCCCAACTCGCAGTTTTAATATTAATTTATGTTACTCGTTATGTGTGATTAGTATTCACGTTTTCCGTGGAAACCAAATAATCGCCCCCCCCCCCCCCTTCTGTGAAATAAAGTAAAAGGGGGAATTTTTTTTAAATTTCTGTGCGAGGTTATTCCGAATTTCTTGTGTACAAATATTTTAATCTTAGAACTTCCTATGCCTGGCCTCGCAACTAGTCTTTTTGTTGCACGGAAACCGCAATCGGCCCCAGTTCATGTTTTGTACGGAAGCCTTTACACCAAAAAGACTTCACCCTTTCAAAGATCACTGCTGCCACGACACCGTAGAAAAGCAGTTACCTCGCTCGAGCAAAACATTCGTTCGGAAAGCGACAATTTGGCACCGACCGGAGATTTCGGATCCTCGGCTAAATCGTATTCGGTGAACTGGTGAAGTTCACCGAATGAGGGCAAGTTTTTCCCTTTCCCACGGCCGTGCCCAAACGAGTTGCAAGGTTGCTCACTGCACCGAAACCTCCACCGTTTTCTGCCTTCATTTTGTAGAGTAACTTTCTAACTAGGGTGACCTCGCGTTCCTCGAAGAGCACTGCCGCCATACCATCAAGTCTCGCTGGCGAGTTCCCAAAGGCGTGGGGCTGCAGATCGCATGGTACGGGGTTCGATTCCCACTTGGCCACTTGGCCACTTGGCAAATCTTGTTTGTAACAATTAATTACACCAGACCATATTAGCAACGCTGCACCATCTAGTACAGCCAATTTGAAACTACACACGACCCGTGTGCTTAGTCACGTCGCACACAAGCATAGTCGCACGTATATGTGTGATATATTTCGAAATAAATACCTCGTGATAAATACCTCATAATGGCGGGCTATGCCCGCCATTATGAGGTATGTGGTGGCACAGGTCAGTACGCTGATGTTGCTCCTGTATCGATACTTTTCAGGTGCTTTTTTTATTGCTGCGCGTCTCTATGCAAGGAGAAAACCGCGAAGGACAACCTCGGAGACAAAATGAGATTTCCTGTTTTGCTGCAGAAATACAGCTGCCGACAAAAAGGAAAAAGATATATATATATAAGGGGTGTTCGACTTTAATTCAGACAGATTTAAAAAAATAAAAAGGATGAGGGTTAGACGAGTGAAGTTTCCGCCGTGTATGTATTTATCAAGCTTGGCGGACATTACATCAGGGGATAATCGTCAAAGGTTGTGGTAGGGTGGCCTTGCTGCATGCCCATCCGGGAGGAACAACACGAAGCCGGGGTTCCCATAACGAGAAACTACATTTATTAGATTAACAGGATTCGGTTGTCAGTATAAGCGTAAAACATTGCCGGAGTGTTGGAACTGCACGCCTCCGTGACCACGGTTTGTCTTCCCCCCGTTCTGTGGGCGTGTGCCCTCTTTTATAGGCTTCTGCGCCTGTCCTACGTGCGCTATAGCGCGCCTCGGCCGTTGTCCAGTTTGGACATTCGGCTGCGGCCTCTGGCCGTGGTGGGAGACTTTTGCTCCCACACTCCCCCCCCCCCCCCCCCCCCCCCCCCCTTAAGCGCCTGGCATGTCGATGCCAGTGTTGAAGTGGTCGTCCTTGGGAGGGGGTCGTCGTCGAGGGTGTGGACGGCGGAGGTGTATCGGCGCTAGGGCGCGCTACAGGTCGCGGTTGTCCTTTGGTGGCCGTTTCCGGAATCCCCGGCAGTTGCAGTTTTCGGTGCCTGTGGAACGTTTTGCCCACTGGCCGCAGTTCCGTGCGGTGGGCCTCGCTGTTTGCCGCCCTCGGTGACTGGGACCGCCACGTGTTCTGGGACCCTGGCGTCCAGATGCCCGGGATTAGTGGTGGCGTCGCCCGTGATCCATCTTCGTGAATTAGAACGAGCAATTGCCATGGGTTACTCTCATGTGTAACCCCTAGTTCTATGATGCATAAAAAAAAGGATAAAGGGTATGAAGTGAGCACGCAATCGCGCAATATTTCTCCCTCTCCCCCCTCAGAAAGGCGATCAGACCCGTGGGATGATATACGATCGAGGTACAACGCTCGAAACCCGAAAGAAAGAAGGAAAAAAAAAGAATAATCTTGTCCATCGCTTTACAACTTCTCTCAGCCGTCACCGACGTCGCAGGTTGTACGGCCTGTGTGGCGGCGAGGGGGGGTCCGGGACCGGGCCGTTGTCGGCATCGGTCTGATCCTGCGAAAAACCATCTTCCGGGATGTGGAATTGTTTAAGGTCGGTGACATGAGTTGGTCCCGTGGACTCACCACTGAAATGGTGAATTAGTGTGTATGTAAGCGGGGAAAGCTTTTTGCCTACACGAAATGGACCATCCCACCTGTTGGCCAGTGAGGCCGTGAAGCCTTTCGCCGCGTCACTCAGGGTGTGAGTGCGCCTGAGCACCAAGTCTCCAACCTCGAACTGCAGGTCTCGGCGTCCCTGGTTGTACTGGTCGGATTGCTGCAGTTTGGCAACGTCAAGGTTTTCCCGGGCTTCCTTGAGGTTGATTGTGAAACGCTTTCGAATGTCGTCTGCGAACTTTCTGTAGTTGCGGTCCTGTGCCCTGGGCTCTGTCGAACGGAGAGTGCTAGTGAGAGGGAAAGCAAGCTCTCTTCCAAAATTGAGCTGGGCAGTAGTGAGCCCGGTGGA